CACAAGTACTTTCTTATTCTGTGGTAAACACTGTTTTTGTGGTGTTGTTTTTTTTATAAACAGGTCAAAGTTGAACAACATGATCGATGCCATTCCAAAAAGTAAAAAGAACAAGCGGTGCCAGTTACACTCCTTAGACACACATAAACCTAAACCTTTGGGGTGAGTAGCAGGCCTAGTTTGTTTTCCTCATCAAACGGTTGTGCCATTTGTTTTGTTAAAACAACAGTCAGGATCTTCTGAAAGTTCGATGTCTTCATTTGAAGTGGAATAGTAATGCTTGCTAGCAGGCAGGTCATGCTGGGGAGTGTCTGAGTTGTCAAAGCATAGTGAAATAGGCAAATGGAGAGTGGCAGGTTTTAAGAATTACAATGGTAGACAACCTTTGTTTTATGCCAGTCATCTATTTTGTACCACTTGTTTGTTATTTTGTCTTATTGCTGATAATTGTAAAATTCTACCGGAAACCAATATGAGGCATTTGTTACTTTTTCATGAGTGGTGATTACATACTGTTGTGGATAAAAACATTTTTGTAAACAAAGCACCAAGACCCACCTAATTACATACTCTATATGTGCATAATTTTCTGTATGCGCTCATAACATCATGATAGAATTGAATGAGAACATATTGCTTGGTTTTTAGCCAATGCCTTTTTTTTTAAGCCAGAGTATGGACATTGGGAACGGACAGACTCAGTCAGGCATGCTGGACATTCAGAATTTTCCTTACAAGTTTGCAATTCAGTCAGTGTTAGACTTGGGTTCACCAGGCAGACAAAAACATTACTTAACTGTAATGTTGTGGGTCTGTTGCATGTGTAAAACAAAAATTCAACCATTGTAGGTTTAATAACCAATAACTGTATATATTTACAATCATATGCTTACAGAGGAAGCTGGATAGATGTATGGGAGCAGATGTCTCAGGAGTGCAGGGATGAGGTGGTTGTCATCGATAGTGCCTGTCTCCTAGAGACTCTGGAGACCTACCTGCGTAAACACAGGTAATGTGTCACTGTCATAGCTTTGATTTCCAAAAGACTTTTTCTTCTGTCTATTGATTGATGAGCCATATTTTACTCTCTTGTCGACAGGTTTTGCACTGACTGTAAGAACAAGGTTCTGAGGGCATACAACATCCTGGTAGGGGACTTGGACTGCAGTAAAGAGAAAGGTTACTGTGCTGCCTTGTATGAGGGACTATGCTGTTGCCCCCACGAAAGACACATCCATGTATGCTGTGAAACAGACTTCATCGCTCACCTACTTGGCCGGGCAGAACCGGAGTTTGCAGGAGGCTATGAGTAAATAAAAGTCTGCCTTTTTCTTTATACATTGATTCATTTGCATTTGATGATTTTGTTTGTTTGCTTTGTTTTTTTTTTTTAAGACGCAGAGAGAGACATGCCAAGACCATTGACATTGCGCAAGAGGAAGTCTTGACCTGTCTGGGTATTCACCTCTATGAGCGGCTGCACAGGATCTGGCAGAAACTACGAGCAGAGGAGCAGACCTGGCAGATATTGTTCCATTTGGGAATTGATGCGCTACGTAAAAGTTTTGAGGTACACAACTTGTAAGCCAGCTTGTGTATTGTATCATTTCAAGCTGATTTATCAGATAATGAATGCATTATGGATGTGTGATAATGTATCTGTTATTTTGCCACTAGATGGCAGTGGAGAAGATGCAGGGGATCAGCCGGCTGGAGCAGTTTGTCGAGGAGCTGTCTGAGGAGGAGAGGGCCAAAGAGCTGAAGCAGGAGAGAAAGAGGCAAAAGCGAAAAAATCGACGCAAAAACAAGTGTGGCTTTGATGCAACTCAACAGGAGACAGAGGACAAAAACAAAAATCTGGATGAGGTAATCCTGCACTAACAGTTTGTGACATGAAGCGCCACTTGCACATTATTTGAGGCATTTGTGTTCTTTTGCAGATATATATGCCTATATTTCAGTGTGGCCTGTTTGGTGTGTTGCAGGGTTCCCTTGAGTCTGTGGAGGGCATTTGCAAGGCCTGTGGCAGCCACAATGAGGAGGGGGGGGGGAGGGAATCGCCACCAATGGAAGGACCTCCTGTAGCTGCCCAGGCAACACTAAACAAGGTATAGATGCACACTGACATCACCACAAGCCATTACATCTGTATTTCCAGGTTACTGCATTAGCATGATTATTGTAAGGGCAAAAAGCAAGCATGAAAAAATGTGTTTTTCCCCATGTATTACTCCAGACTTGGCCTCTCACAACAATGGCAGCGACTGCGGCTACTCTTCAAGTATGGAGGGCAGTGAGATGGGATCACATGAAGGCTCTGACATTGCCTGCTCTGAGGGAATCTGCAACCATGATGAAGCAGGTCAGGCTTGACTAGTTTTATTCCTTAGGACCCAGAACAGGAGTCATTTCATGGATTTATGACATACAGAATAGTGTCTTGTTTTGTTGTCTCACAGTGTGTTTGTGTTTACCTTTTTTAAGGGGATGACCCACATGTTTTGACCCATCACTGTGTTGAAGACGAGGAGGATGGGATAGACAGCTGTGTGAACTGTGGACAACACTCTGAGGAAACCAGTCAATGCAAGAGTAAAAAGAAGAAAAGGAAGGGCAAGGGTTTATGCACTGATCAGGTGAGAGAATAGGTTGAAGAATTTCCATGTTTTATTCAGAGTTTACCAAACTGTACACCATTTAAAACATGCACATTTTTATAGGGACAAAAAGATGAAGGTTGTATGTCAGATGGGAACACAACAGGCCACAGTCTGCCATCATCACACATCTGCCGAACCAAAGAAATCTTTTACTCCTTATGTGGCGATACGTTTGCCAGCATTGCACTACGGTTACCATGGAGAGTACATCAAAAAAACCTCAACCTTCACATGAGGCCTCCAGAGACAAACATAAGTCTTGTGGAACTCCTGGTTAGTAAGAAATGTTTAAACTGACTTAAGAATAGACCTTTCTTCCAGCAGTAACTGTAACTTGTTATGGTAGCACAAGCCTTGCCAGTGAGCTGTTACAATGACACAGGAACCTGAAACTGGTACACAAGTAAAATGTCCATTCAAATAATAGTCTATTGTTTCTGTTATAAAAAAAAAAGGTGAGAGCTCTTTTTCAGTTTGTTTGGTGCTGTCTGATTCTGGTATTTATGTAACCTTCTGTACACCTGTTGTGTTCTTAATCCAGGATAATTCAGAGGTGGCTTCGGATGAAGAGAATTGTCTGACACAGGATGAAATCCAGGCATTTTTAGAAAGAAACCAGTCTTTCTATGACAACCGCCACCAGTACCGAGAGCTCCTGAAAGAGAAATTCACCAACTACTGCCGTGCCGCTGAGCGGAGTAAGCCAGTCTGTGGAAAGTGGTTTGCCACCACGAGTGTCAGTTAATTGCACTAATGACAACTTCCCCAGGAGAAAAACACTCATGACCACTGCTGCAACATATTTAGAAAAGAGAAAAATATGAAATACATTTGATAACTTTTTCAGTTATTTCTTCTTTAAAGTAAATGTGATCCTTGCATTCTGTCGGTCATCTCTCACTCTTTTGCACTTGTACACCAACACACTTTTCCATTTCATTTCTTGTCAACTTTCTCACCTGTAATTGTTTTTGGTTTTCTGTGGGGTTGTTGGGTAAGAACACAATGGAATCAGTAATCAAGCTTTGCAAGCTGTGGGATACTTTTTATGAGTCTTTTGTTTGTTTTTTTATGGTTAATTTTGGTTTCCATTTTGTTTCTCTTCGGTGACACTTCAATGTAGTGGTAAAGGTTGTACCATTCAATGTGTACAGAAATTCTAAATAGAAACATTTTACAGGCAATAGACATCCATTTGTAATGAGGATTTGGGTGTGATGTTGAGTGCAATGTGTGAAATTTACAAAATAAAGAATATTTATTAATATGCATTATACATTTTTATTTTCATGTTCTAATGAGAGTTCATTTATATTTTGATCAGAGAAGAGAGCCCCTCTGTCTTGGCCTTCACCAATTAAACACTGAATACTGCAGCAATTTAGCAAGCTGGTGTAAAGCCTAGCTCAGCATTTTAAACTTGTAATGAACATCTCAGTACAAACATGCATAGTGTGGGGCTTGTATTTGTTCTTGCAAATGAAACTATCTGGGGGCAAATGTCTAGTGCTAGCAAAGCAATAGAAATCAAACTAAATTCTTAAAGGTTTTCTTGTCGAACTGAATAAAAATTAAATGGAGAATAGAGTCTCATATTTGCCCTCAGTCGTTTCTTTTTTCAGCAGATAACAGGCAATTTTTAATTCTATTCATAGTTTAGTGTAAATGTATGTCAATAATGGGAAAAAAAACTCATATTTACTCTCCACAGCGTGGCCTTTACGCAGTGTTATGTAACTATGCTGTGAGTCTTGTAAGGAACTTTAAATTGCTTTTGACTTGTATGAAAGTTGCTGCATAAATAGTTTAATAATTGAAGAAATCCTTTAAAATATCGGTTGTATTGCAGTGTCAGTTTAGTACAGAATATCTCAGTACGGGTTGATTTCTTTAAAAAACATATACAACAGCTGTTAAAACGCACTACCTACAGTAGGTGTCAGTTTGTAACATACTAGAAGTTAATCAAAATCATTTTTGAGTTCAACATGCGAAGACATGTTTTATTTTTATCCAGTAGATGGCGGTATATGCACACGGAGAGCACGCCGAGGCTCGAAGACAAAGTGGGAGGTAATGTAAACCAAACACTCGGGTTCTTCATATTTTATCGAGTGGAGCGCATGGACCCTGGCTTAACACACACTGTGTGACGCTGTCCTCGATGCTGCACACGCTGAGACAGGAGGCTGTGGCTGCTGCCTTACTCCATTTGAATACATCGCACAAAATACTGATAGCTGCGATTGTGATAGTTTAAACCAAACAGAGAGAGAGATACGTAACGGGAGCCGCATTTTCGTGCGCAGTGACCGGTGTAGGCAGTGCGTTGGAGATGGAGCGATGGACAGGCAGAGTGGCCCTGGTGACCGGAGCCTCGGTGGGGATTGGTGCGGCTGTAGCCCGGGCACTGGTCCAGCAAGGCATGAGGGTTGTCGGCTGTGCCAGGAATGTCGACAAAATAGAGGTGGGCAATTGAATTGAATGTCATTAACAGCTTTGAATTAAATCTGTCCGACACGCAGGAGACGCTAGCTCTATTATTAGGGCAATAACAAACTAGCTAACTAACGGCAACCGCTAGCTAACATTAGCTTTCCAACTTCAGCTAGAAACCTTTAGCGTCATGTTGGACCCCTTTAAAAAAGTAACGCAGTCGTTGTGGCTCTGTTTGTTGAAATTTAGTAGTCAGGTACAATGTTACATGAAGTGATCAATATAATTTAAGATAAGTACCTTGTTAAACCTTATGGTTGTACGAGGATAACATTTTACAATGAACAGAATGCTTGTAGTTGGACCACAATAACAGTGGCAGCATAATAAGAGATGTAATCCATAGCTAAATCACGACAGGCGATTGTTACCTATTTCCCATATGAATATTAGGCTATAGGAATATTGTTGTACTCTGGAATTGTACTCCACAGTAGTATTTGATGGGATACAATACCACCTAGTAAATGAGACAATAAGGACGCACCTATACCACCACTCTGCGAATCCCACCATATCCCTAATCTGTGACAGTCTCTGTTATTAATTCTTACTGAAAATCATAACTTTATTTTGGTTGACCATCTCCAAAGAGGTCTGACATATAGAAGCCCATTCCCGCCAGTTAAATGAGAAATAAAACGCTCTAAGTCGTTATTTCTACTTAGCTAAGTAGAAATTCCGACATATCTAAATCGGAATTCCGACTTAGATATGTCGGAATTCCTACTTACACTTCCCTAAGTCGAAATTTCGACTTAGGGAAGTGTAAGTAGGAATTCCGACATATCTAAGTCGGAATTCCGATTTAGATATGTCGGAATTTCTACTTAGCTAAGTAGAAATTCCGACATATCTAAATCGGAATTCCGACTTAGATATGTCGGAATTCCTACTTACACTTCCCTAAGTCGAAATTTCGACTTAGGGAAGTGTAAGTAGGAATTCCGACATATCTAAGTCGGAATTCCGATTTAGATATGTCGGAATTTCTACTTAGCTAAGTAGAAATAACGACTTAGAGCGTTTTATTTCTCATTTAACTGGCGGGAATGGGCTTCCATACTGACATCATGGTGAGCTGCAGTAGACTACTATCTACAGAGCAGTGTTCCGTGTGGTAGGACACACTGTCAACCCTTAAATCATCTGCTGCCAGTATTAGTAATAAACCTGTTCAGGTAGAGTCAAGTTGCCTCAACATGTTTTCCAAAGAGTTGTCAGTGCATGTCCATGGGTCTTTCAGGAGTGTCTGGGTGTCTCCAGTCTGGTGGGACAGTGTGGGCCTATTAAAGCTTTGTGTGGAGTGTATAAGAATATCTATTATGATCACAGGTTTCAGCCTCTCCACTATCTCCCAAGCCTAATAAAACTAAACTAGGGCACTACATTTCAGACTCATGTAGCCATAAATATATTTTATAAAATCTATTTACAGCAACCCAAGCCATGTAATCTCAGTTTATAGGGTGTTCCACTGATATGCTGTTATTTTATTTTTACCACCTATTTGATCTCATTTTAACGGTCACTGTTCAGTTATTATTGTATTGTTGCAATCAGTATTTCACTGCTGCTCTCATTGTGAGTCTGAAAGTAATTAGTGCTAGTGGTGATTATGTTTGAATGTCATACACATTTGTCAGCTCAGTACTGAACCAGTGAATTCAGGACTGTAATTAAAACATGAATTAATAATGAAGGTGAAATTAACTGCAGTTGTTAGCCTGCATTTCATCTTCAGTCACACACATTCTTGCACACATACTTTGGTGGAGTATGACTTGAAGGCAAACAACTCTTTTAGGGCAGGAGTCAGTGGCCCCACCCCACTAACCCTGCACTAATCTTAAGTCATAAGGCACTGCACCCTGCTTATCATGTCAGCACCGGGCTGCCAAATGCTCACTACACATGTATGTTTAGCCACCCTTTAAGCTGCTAATGCAGCACTGTAACATTTTATGGTAGAAGTCATAGAAATTATTTATTTTTTCAAACATTTACTTGCCTACTAGTTCTCATTCTTTTAGGCAAGAGTCCATTTTAACTAACTGAACAAATATGAAGTTTATTAAAGCAACATGAAATGAACTGTAACTGTTTACAACTAATTGTAACCAAGCTGGAAAAGTGGTTGGCCAAAGAGATGATTCACAGCTAATGTTAAGAAGCATGTCTTTCCATCCAACCTGCATTACTCAACAAAGAACCATCCACACGATACAGTGTTACATCAGACTTGGTGACCTGCAACATTTCCTTGTCAAAGGAGGTTCTGTTAGATTAGATCCTCATCTTGTGTCGGCCTTTTCTCATGGCCCCTTAGTGCATTATACAGTACCAGTGCTGCAAGAGTTATTATTTTCAGTATTGATTCATCTTTTTTTTGGTTTGTTTTTTGATTGTTTGGTCCATGAAATGTCAAATAGTTGTGATAAAATGCCCTTCACAACTTCCCAAAGCCAAAGGTATGCCTTTTATAATGTGTTGTTTTGTTCTATGAAAAACCAGAAGGTATTCACAGTGATTGACAAAGAAAAGTCCTTACACTGAACCTGAAGTCATAAAATGTGTAGCATTTTAATTCTTGTTGCTTGAAATGTAAAATGAAAAATTAAAATTAGAAATAACATACTTAGTGATTATTTTAATAATAATCACCTTTATTTGATCAAGTATGTTACACACAAGGAATTTGTTTCCGGTACAGAACCAAGGCAGCCATTTGTGGCGCCAACTCAACCGATGGCTCTAACCACCGAGGGTAACATGGGATTTCACTGTCTTGCCCAAGGACACTTCGACGTGTGGACTGCAGGCACCAAGATTCGAACCGCTGACCCTCCAGTTGGGAGATGACTGCTCTACCCACTGAACCACAGTCACCCCTCAGTAGTTTTAGATATTGTTTAAATGCATAATGGTTTCAGGGCGGCACAGTGGCACGGTGTTTAGCGCTGTCACCTCACAGCAAGAAGGTTCCAGGTTTAGGCCCTGTACCTGCGTCGGTTCTCTCAGGGTACACCAGCTTCCTCCCACAGTCCAAAGACATGCAGCCTATGTTGATTGGTGACTCTAAATTGCTTGTAGGAGTGAGTATGAGTGTGTGTGGTTGTTTGTCTACATGCCAGCGATACACATCTGTGACAGACTGGCAACCTGTCCAGGGTGTACCCCACCTCTTGCCCAATGTCAGCTGGGATTGGCCCCAGGCCTCCACGACCCTATTCAGGAATATGCGGTATAGATAATGGATGGATGGATGGATAATGGTTTCAACTCTGTACAGTAATGTGGCTGTTATTCTACTTGGAAAAACCTGTCAAACAAATGGGATCAACTTTAGCCACAGGAACTCTGCTCAAGATGGCATTGTGAAAGTATGGGTGACAAATAAAAAATTTTCCCTCTCTAGTGGTGTAAAACAAAGAATTTAATCCATATTTCAGTTAGGTCTTGTTTTTGACATGATTCCATTTTCCCCACCTTGGTAACACACACAGTGAGTGTGAATTGCACAGTAGGTAATAGTAACCTCCCTCCATTCATACTCTGATCACATGGTCCCTCCTGTCAATAGTTAACAGCAGAAGCTGTTTCTGCCCCTTGTGCAAGACAAAAAAAACTAGGTCACAACATTTAAAATCTTCATAGTACTTTTCCATAATACCAACATCAATCAGCATTAAAGAGCTGGCAGTCAGAGCAGTCCTCCTTCGTTCCTTATTATCGGTTACAGTAGATGAAACCAAGCTTATATTTATTTAAATATTTCGCTAAACCTCTGAAAGATATTAGGATGTATAGAGCAAGAGGGTTCAAGTGCTTCTGTTCTGTGACAGATTTCATCACTTGCACATGAACCTTAAAGAGATGTCTGTGTGAGTTGAGGGACAAAGCCAGTATTGTACTCACTCTCGGCCTGTCCAGGGTGCACCCCACCTCTCACCCAATGTCACCTGGGATTGGCTCCAGCACCCCCACGACCCTCATTAGGATAAGCGGTATAGATAATTGATGGATGGATGTACTCGCTCTGCTATGTAAACTTGCTTCTTGCTATAGTTGTTCCACACCTGACCTGCTGCTATGAGAGATGCAGCATGTCCATCACTAAGCACTTGTTCTTGACTTCCCTTTTGGTGTTTATTTCTTTCTTTGGGGAAATAAAGCTTTGATGGTCTGCCTTCCCTACAGCAATATTCTTACTCCTGCTAGACCAGATACAACAAGGATAATTTAGGTGTTATGGTTTCTGTTGTTCTGTGTAAAGAAAGCACACAGAGTGGAGAAGAGAGCTCTGGCAGCAGGACTGTTTTGTTGTTTGTGAGACTGTGTAGTAGGCAGTGGGGGAGCAGCAAGCTGGAGGGAGACGTGTGGTCACCATGGACTCTGTGTAGGAATGGAGACGCAGGCAGGACAGGGCTGCATCCCAGTAGCAGTGACACAGCTTCTCATGAACTCTAGTGAAATCCTCCAAACTGGGTTATGAAGCTTTTACTTTGCTGGAAGAAAAATCTCTCCACTAGTGTGCACACAGCATTTTCTTGGCGGTTACAAAAAGTTTTAACATGTCCTTTGAACTAGGACAGTGCCCTCCACTGGGAGCCATATGTATGCACATTTTCATTACAGCTGAGCACAGCAGCATCTGAATTGACTGGAGAGGAGGGGCATCATTAAACAGAAGGAGCATCTGAGGCATTGTATGTATGCTGTTTGCGGGATCACTGCCATAGAAGGATTCTAAATCTGAGCTCCCATCTGACTCAAAAAGAAGAGGACACAGAGATAGTGTTTAAGTAGTTTTTTTGTTTGCTTGTTTGTTTGTTTTCTACTTAGACCTCTGAGGCACTGTGCCCCACATAGCCCATATGTGTAGGTTTGTGACATCTGCTTGCCTACCACGGTGTGATGCAGTAGTAAATACACAGTTATGAACTCCTGTTGGTGAAAACCACAACTATG